AGAAAGATAGGGAGATTTATGTGCAAGGATATTTATTGCAATATTATTTATAATGGTAAAAGACTTGAAACTACCCAAATGGTCAACAATAGAAAAAACAATTGAATAAATTATAGCATAACCACATGGTTGATTACTACGAAGCAGTAAAACACATTTTGAAACAACATTTAACGACGAGCAAAAATGCTCATGATATGCTACATGGAAAAAAGAATATATATCATGTATACATTTACGTTATGTATACATATAGATCATATGATTCTTTATATATCTATATATAGAGATAGAGCTACATATATACATATGTATTATGTGAACATCCTAATTTTGTACATAGACATACACCAAAATGCTAATGGTGATTATTCCTGGCTGGAGAGACAATGAGCAGTTTTTATTTCCTTCTTTGGACTTTCATCTTTTCCCATGTTTAGGGATTAATACCAGAATCACATCACATCAGGAGGCACGTCAGCTTTATTCATTGTTAGTGATGCTAAGTTTGGTCACCTGGTTACAGGAGCGTGGCTCCAAGCTCTCCACTGTAAAGGTACCTTTTCTCCTTTGTAATTGCTAAATAATCTTTGGGGTGATAATGATTTGAGAGTATAAAAATATCCTGTTTCCCAACAATTTTTTACTCTACAGAGAAAGCATCCATTAGTGATCCTAGATGGAAACAGTGGTTACACTGAGGAATACATAATGGTTATTTCCTTCTGCATTTGTTAAGATGACATTCTTCTGTGAAGAAGAGTTTCCCCCTCCCATATTTTTAGTATTACTATAGACTCATGGATATCATCATCATCATCATCACCCAATGTGTTATAATCCATTGCTTTTATTCTTCTTAATGCTCAAATTATCCCAAATGTGGCCAGTGGGTTTCCCTTCAAGCTAGTTCTTGTGTCTCCATCATTCTCTGAGCACTTTCTTACTTTATACAGGAACCCTTTTTGCCCCAGATGTGCACCTGACCATCTCTCCAAGAAGCCCTGGTTCCTTTTAGTGGATAGTGGTACATTGTTACTGAGTTTCATTGCTTCCAGGCCCTTTCAGTGAACAGAGCCAGGAAACTGGGAAATGTGTATGTGTGTGTGTGTGTGTGTGTGTGTTTGTGTAAATCACACGTTCATACTGATACCTCCAACTCAAACACAACATGACATAGTGTTTTGTCTTTTCTCTACTCCCTATATTTGTATCTCCCACGGTGTGAACCCCAGTTCCCAACATCAGCATAATTATTTGTTCCATCCTACAATGCACCCCAAATAGTTTCAGATTACTACAGCAATACTAATACTGAGATGGTGTTATTAACACTATTTCAGTTAGTTTTCTATGCCCTTCAGGATAACAATCTGTCAACCACTCATTCCCTTAAATAATGATTGAATTCAGAACAGCAAATCCCTTTCATCTTCAGTCCATAACTAAAAGTAGCTTAGATGTCCACTGGTACAGTGTTGCCCTCAGAATCTAAATCGAATTCCATGGCCCAGGAAGGCCAAAGATGGGGTTTGTCAGCTCCTGGTGGTGTCCTTCCTCAGGCCTGATCCTACACACACTACACCCTGACCTTGACTTACAGCCCCTCGAGATCCCCCAAATAATCTACTCTTGCAGAGATTTCATGCATCAAGCGCACTTTACTGACACCTTCCCAGAAATGATGGTGGAGGGGATGGTGAAGGGGATGGTGCCTGTCAACAAGTTTCACAAGCACAGTAGGCATGACGCATCTCAAAAGAGCCCCCAGGCACTGGCCTTTCAGCTCACCGTTACTTGCTCTCCTTCCCACTGTTTTCCCTTCTTCCTTCTCTCTCCTCTCTCCTTTAGGATCAAAGCACAGTTCTTCCCCTCCTGTCAAGCAGACCAACCTCATCCTCTGAAGCCTTGTTCATGACATTCATAGAACAAGGACAGCCTTCTTCCTCAGAGAAATTAAGGTGGATAATACTTCCTCCACCTCGTTACACATACAAGGGTTGGAATCTTTTTAAAGCTTGGTCAGCTATAAATTGCAAACAAGTAGCTGCAAAACTCGCTCAAGATGAGTCTATCCATTGACTCAGCTACTGCCTCTCAGAACTGGGTCACCACATGGCTCGAGCTGCTCAAGATCTTTCCACCTCAAGAAACTGGTTTCCAGAGCCACCTCCTCATGTCCTCCGCTATCCTCCCACTCTCACAGGCAGACAGGCCCGTTCTCAGCTGGGTGGCCACTGCCCCACATTCCCTCCCAGGACACCAGCTAAGGGCCCAGAGAGAGAAACAGTGTTTCGTAGACAGAAGCCATGGTCTGTGCACCCAGCAGGAGAGGCTGGCCCTCCAGGTAGCATCCACAGTTCATGGGAGAGGAACTCAGGTAAAAGGCCTCTTCTTCCCAGAACCTCTGATCTCTCATTGCATCCATGAAGATGGCCTTGCTAAGCAACTTGCCTGGGCTACAACCAGTGACGGCCTGAAGGCCCCACTCATGGCCCTTCCAGAGTTTTTAGGGTCTAGAAGATCTTCTGAGGGCAGAAACTTTCCAAAAGGTCAGCAGGCAGTGCTGGAAACAGTCTCCAACTGGAGTGCGAGGGACAGTTGGGGGGCCACTGGGGGAAGGTGAGGATCCTTCTGGGAAGTCTATTGTAATCTTTGATAAAGGGAGGGAACACATGAAATTTGAAAAATATTCTAAAACTACTGTTACATTAGTTTCGTTTCCTAGTTAGTAAATAGTTAAGTTGCTTTGACAATTGAATGAATAGTAAAGTAGAAGATTTTTTTATTTAGTGATGGCATTTAGACCCAAATCGTTTAGTGATGTACAAGAATGCTGGGGCCTTTCAAAATGCAAGACTTGAAGAAGAAATAAGTGGCACAGGAGAAGAGTAGTAAAATGGTCTGGGAATAAGAAGAGGGCGGACTGAAGAGGAAGGAGGGTATGAGCCCACTGGCACAGGTAGTGTGCTGCCCTGTGGCCACCCATCCATCCCCAAAGCTCCTGCTGGCTCATGGTAATCTGGGGAACACCAAATACCTTCCAGGTCTCCCTCTGTCATCTCTCAACATGCCTCAAAGCACCTCCATCCTTTGAGTTAAGCACTGGTCTCTGCTGACTCCTCCATCAAGCAGGTAGCATTTATGTTGGGATTTATGTCGCAACTGTATCCAGTTTTGCACCAGTCTAGAACTTTCCAGAAAGACACATAATCTAGGCTAGGTAAGTAGTTTCTCTAGTTTGGTGCTCTTTCAAATTTTTATGTCATCCCATTGACAATTCCTTAGGAGAACCCAGACAGAGTCGAGAGGTACAGCAACCTTGCCCTTAGGAGGCAGTAGGCCCAGAGGGGCAGGTAGGGCTAGCCAGTAAAATACTTGCACCCTCTGTCCTTGCTGAGATGCAGTGGGAAACCACATACAGGTCAATTCCCACATTTCACGTTACTGGGCTGCTCCCCTGGGTCCAATGGGGATGGTTCTAGGCCCAGGTGCCCAGCGGGCCTGGTGCTTCTTTCCACCATGGCTTTTCCCTCCCCGAGTTGATCAACTATGGGCTGAAGCTAGCCAGTACTCAGCACAGGGAAGACACGCAGGGAAGCTCGCCTCCCAGGAAGCTGACTCGCAGGCTTCATGGCTTGCCTCAGGGTACGTGGCTTAGGGCCCATGGTAAGGACACAGGCCTTCTCCCAGCTGAGTATCTTGGGAGAGTTTCCTAAACTTGCTACCTGAACAGGAACACGAACTGGCTACAAATAAGAGTTCTGGAGACAAGCTTACCTGGGCTCCCACCCTGGCTCCATCACTGGCCAGCACCATGTGCATGAGACTTAATTTCTGTCTCTGTTTCCTCATCTGCAAAATGGACCTTGTAAATAGTATCTACCTCATGGGCTGCTTTGAATTAATCTGATGAGCTGATGCACGTAAAATGCTTACAGCACTGCCTTGCTCACAGTAAGTGCTTTGTAAGTCTTTGCTATTTTATATGTGCATGCACTCCTACATACATTTGTAAATACACACACAAAGCCCATGAAGACACACTTCTTGGGATGGCTGACATGAACTTCATACATTTCAATTTGACAACACCAAGTGTTGGTGAGGATGTGGAGCAACTGGAACACCGCAGATGGGAATGGAAACCGTGGAGCCGCTCTGAACAATAGTCTGGCCGTTTCCTATGAAGTTAAACATATTTTCCCGCACTTACCATATGAGCCAGTGATCCCATTCTTAGTTATTTACTCAAAAGAAATGAAAGCATACGTCCACACAAAGAATGCTCGAGGTGGTTTTATTTGTAATAGCCAAGACCTGGAAATAGCCCAGGTGTTCATCAACTCCAGTGGATGGATAAACAACTTCTGGAACATCCTTTCAGCGGAACACTGCTCAGCAATCCAACGGAACACTGCTCAACTGATATGCTTAGGAAAAGAGGAAGGCATGCAAGGCTCCATACTGTAGGATTCCATTTCTATGGCATTTTAGAAACGGCAAGACAGTAGGGATAGAAAACAGATCAGTGTTTGCCAAGGGCTGGGCAAGGACAATGGACGGACTAAAAATGGGCATGAGGAAACCTTTTAGGGTGATGGAAATGTTCTGTATAGTGATTGTGGTGGTGGATTTCTATCTGGATGTGGTTGTCAAAATTCATAGAATAGTTCACATGTGAAAGGTGAATTATACCTTAATTATCTATGACAGGAGGGAACTGGGTAGGAAAAGTGTATAACGGATACTTTTTTGTTCTACTTAATCATATCTGTACTGTTTGAACTTTTGTAATGAGCATGTAATTCAGGTAGCTGGTAATAATTTTATTAAAGTTGAAATAATAATGATATATATCTACCTTGAAGGGATGTTGTAAGATCCAAATGAAATGAGATAATGTGTATAAAGTATGCACACAGATGACCCATAGATCTTCTAAAGTGACAAGGTAGAAAGGACAAGGGGCCTCCACGAGAGTGACGGCCATGACTTACCTCAGTGACGAAGAGTGTGCGAGGGTCAATGATATCCAAGAAGTGCCTGAAGCGACCATAGAAGGATGTCTGGAGAAGGGGGTGGGAGAGGAGAGTAGATCAGCTGCTGTGACCAACCAACCTCCAGCGACTGGGGAACCCCACAAACACCCACTTCACCCCTAGTGTTGGGGTCCCATAGTCCCCAGGACTCCCCACATGGGTGATGAATACCAATGAGGCCTCACTGCTCAGTGACCTGAGGGCAGCCTTCCCAGGTCTGGGGGCTTTCTAACGTCAACTCAGGAGACCGTAAGATACCCAGTGACTGTCCCAACTGTGTTTCAAGGTAACTGCCATTTTTCTCCTTTTCCCCCCAGTGCCCTGAGATCCATTCCAAGCTTTTAGCAGCTCCTGACCCCCACTGAGCACGCAGGCTGGAGATGAGGCCTGGCCCCCTGCTTCTCCCAGCCTTCTCTGACCACCACAGTCTCCCTGCCTTGCTTAGAACCTCTCCAGGGAGGGACGGTCCCTCTTCAAGGTCAGCTCCCCATAGGCAGAGCTCAAGCACCATAGCGCCCAGCTTGCAGCCCTCAGGCCCTCCTTTGCCCACAGACCTGGAGCTGCTGTGAGACGCAGGACAAGGGGCAGGCTCCCCCTCGCCTTGCCCCAGAGCAGGGTCCCTGGAAAAGAAGGGCTTTGTGCAAAGCAGGCCACAGGCATTAAAGCACAATGAAAGGAAACCGAGCAACCCTGCCGCTGGGCCCTCTGCCCTAGGGACAGAGCCAGCTTGGCAAAGCCAAGCTCAAAGGGAGAAGAGAGGGTGCCAAGCTAGAGGACAAAGGAAAAGCTGCAAATGCTGGGGGTTCATGCCTCACTACTCTCCTGGGCTCTGCCCCGAATCCTCCCTGGAGCCCCACAACTTTCCATCCTCTGCACAGTGGGAGAAACAGAAGCCCCCACACTCCCTCCCTTGCTCACTAGGACACCAGACCCTGCAGCCGACTTCTGCTTCTTCCCTTCCTAATAAAGACCCTGCAGCAGGCCCTGGATCACCTCCAAGTCCCCTGCACACACACCAGGCCCCATGCTGCCTCCATCTCTCTGCTTACTGTGGCACCCCCTGTTTAGAGCAGCCTCTCTGGCTCCTACTTCCATCCCCCATTGAGGTGCTGCCTTTCACAGACCAGGTCAGGCTTCAGCGCCATTCCTAACAAAAACAATTGCTTCTCTAACCTCTTATCACTCAAATGGCCAAAACCACGATGCTCACACCATTGTCCTGGCAAAATTTCACCTATAAGTCTAAGGAAAAATCAGAGACAGTCAGAGGTATATGCTGAGGACGCGAGCTGCTGCATTATTTGTAAAGGTGGACGGTTTGATAAATAATGGCCCATTCATATGATTGAACACTATACAGCCATTTAAAATCATGTTTTCAGACAACATTTATGACATGGAACAAGGCTTATGATGTGAAATGCATATAAAGAGGATGATTCCAATTAATAAGCAAGGAGATAAACAGAGCCAGATGGATATTAAATGGATGGCAAAGAGACAGAATGACATCCAGACCCTGGTCCACTAAAATGAATCTGGGTTCCTTAGAGAAGTGGCCAGTGTCAGGGCTGGGGTAGGGAAGGTACCAGATCAGACTGATATATTCTGCTGTGCCAGAAAGTAATGAAGTGCTCCCCGCCCCGCCACACCGCAAAATGATGGGGACATGTTAAAGGGACTGATGAGGGACAGATGGACATTGAATGCCTCCAGCTGTGACACCCTGAGAAGTTCACAATATCACTCACATAGTATTCTAGGATGACTGAACCCAATCAGGAAGAAACATCAGACAAACCCAAATTGAAGAACATTCCATAAGATAACCAGCCTTATTCATCAAATATGTCATGTCATAAAGACAAAGGAAGGCTGAGGAACCGGTCCACATGAAAGGGAACTAGAGAGATAATAAATGTGTCACATGATTCTGGATTGAATCCTGGACTGGAGGGGAAAATATTCTCAAGGACAGTATTGAGACAACTGACAAAACTGGAACATGGGTCATAGCTTAATAAAAGGTTTGTATCCATATTAAACTTCCTGAATATAGTAACTACACTGTGGTTATTGCTATAGACTGAATATTTATGTCTCCCCAGTATTCATATGCTAAATCCTAATGCCCAAGGTGATGTATTTGGAGATGGGACCTTTAGGAGTCGATTAGATCTGAGCCCTCATGAACGGCACCCGTGCCCTTGTAAAAGAGACCCCAGAGATCTTGGAGAATGTGATTTCTTGGTGAGTATAAAACAGCAGTGACTCAAAGAAGGTGGCCGTTGGGATACTTCCTAACTGCAGTGGGTCCTTATGAGAAACACTGTTTCTTTGTAGCTGCTTTTTGTGCCTGTCTTCCCAGCCTGATGAATGGTGGGGAAGGTACCTATTTTTTCAGTCTGATTAATTTTTATTTTCTCTATAGTTTAAAATGTATGGGCATTTTTTTCTCCCCCCTCCAAAATTCAGCCCCCATCTTTACCCAATCAGACGGTCAGTGGATGTTTTTCCTCCCCTTTTTCTTTACCTGAAGAATGAGTCAGCCAAGCGACTCCTTCCCTTTCTCTTCACAAGAAAGGTGAGTCAGCTAATTCTCTGCAGGGTCTGGGGCCTGCAGGCCACACTGCCTTCCCCCCTCCACTGCCCCGGGGGCGAGCGGGCCTTGGAAGGAGCAGCTGAGGGCAATGGTCAAAGGAACTGACAGCCCTGCTGTTCTCAGACCTCTAAACCGCTGCTCTTCTGGATTAGGAATAAAATACTCACTGAACCCAAAGGCAGAAAGCCTTGACCAGTTCAGTAGTCCTGGACCAGGCTGCACATTGAATCACCTGGGTATCCCCCAAACCAGCTGTACACCCAAAGATTCAAATTCTACTGGCCTGGGGTGGGCTCCAGGCATCAGTGTCTGTTTAATAACCTGCCCAGGTGAGTACTGTGCAGTAGGGAGCAAGAGCCACTGGACTAGAAGGTACTGTCCCTTCCACAGCACAAACCAGCGCCAGGACTAGCCCTGGGAACCAGCCGCTCTCTAGTCTGTAAATGATTAAAACACTTAACTACCTGCGAGGCATTATCATTTTAGAATTTACCTCAGTCAAACTATGTGAGAAACATCCCCATTGCCTCCCAACTCAGCCCATATACAAAGCTCTCCACCTTGGAGTGAAGAGCGCATTTTCCTGCCCAGCAAGCTCCTCATACCCCAGAGTGAGCCTGTGCACCCCATCTGCTCTGCACCATTGGCCTGGGCCAATTTCGGGTCCCAGAACACACACAGCACACCCATAACCCCCAGTCATCTTAGCAGATGAGTGAGAGTTCTGAAGGAGCAAGGAAGTTAAAAAAAAACACCACAAAAAAACACCTATTTCTGGATAGGCTGAAACACAAATGGGAAGATGCCTGGGTGTTGTTTCCTGTCCTGGGGCCCCAACTTGCCAAAAATGGTGTCAGGTCTGAAGGGAACAAAGAGCAGGTTCAGGAGGGGAATTGAGCAGAACAGGAGGAGGAAACGGAGCACAGCGGGGTCACAGCGCTTCCCAGGTGCAATGTCTTGTCTTCCCAGGCAATATGGGGGCAGCGGTTAAAAGCATGGCTTTCAAGTTTATGAGAACGGGACAGAGGAACATGGTCAATAATACCACAGAGATGCCTTCAGCCACATTCAGAATGAAGGAAATTCTATAGGACAAACAATGCAGTTTCATCAACAAATAGAAAGGAAAAAAAAAAAGAGGGAAGGAGAACCAATAGATTAGAAGAGACAAATCAGTCAAATATAATGGTGGGCCTTCTGGGGGTCCTAATTCAAACAAACTGATTATTTTTAAAATGAGGTGACAATCAGGGAAATGTGACTAGTGCAATGGACTGAAGGGTTGTGTCCCCACAAAAGTCCTATGTTGAACTCCTAACCCTCAAGATAGTGGTATTAGGAGACGGGCCTTTGGGAGGTGATGCAGTCATGAGGGTGGAGCCCTCATGAATGGGATTAGTGCCCTTATAAAAGAGACCCTAGAAAGATTCCCTCTTCCCTTCTGCCATGTGAGGTTACCGCTAGAAGGTGCTGTCTATGAACCAGGAAGCTGGCTCTCATCAGACACCAAATCTACCAGCACCTTGCTCTTGAGCCTCCAGCGTCCAGAACTGTTAGAAATAAATTTCTGTTGTTTATAAGCCACCAAGTCTATGGTATTTTGTTATAGCAGACCGAACAGCTTAAGACAAATAGTGATTGGTTTGATGATATTAAGAAATAATTATTGGGGCCAGGCAAGTGGCTCTGTTGGTAAAGAGCTCGCTCAAGAGTGTGAGCTCTGAACAACAGCGGTTTGATTCCCGGCCCGAGCTGAGCTGCCGCTGAGCTGCCAACAGGTGGCAGGATGGCTCAGCTAAATTAAAAAAAAGAAAGAAAGAAAAAAGAAATAATTATTGCAGGTGTGTTAATGGCATTGTGGTTATGTTAAACCTAATAAAAAAACCCTTCGGATACCATATGAAAAAAAAAAGGCACTTCACCTCTATGATGTTCTTCCTCCAAAAAACATAACCTTAGTCTAACTACAAGAAACACACTGGACAAACCCAAATGGAGTGACATTCTACAAAAATATCTGACCAGTACTTCTCAAAACTGTTAAGGTCAGCAAAAACAAGGAAAGTCTAAGAAACTGTCATAGACCAGAAGCGACTAGGGAGATGTGACAACTAAATGTAATGTGGAATCTTGGAACAGAAAAAGAACATTAGTGTAAAAAATAGTGAAATCCAATAAAGTCTGGAGTGTCGTTAACAGTAATGTTCCAAAGTTGGTTTCTTAGTTTTGACAACCGTACCATAGTAATGTGAAATGATATTAGGGGAAATTGGGTGAGGGTTATACAGGAATTCTGTTATCTTTTGGACTTCTGTAAATCTAAAATTATTCCAAAATTTACAAGTTTATTTTTTAAAAACTAACCCAAAAAAGTCCTTATTTTTTGTAGACATACTACTAGCAGGGACAATGAAATGATGGGTTTTGCTTTGAAGAATTCATTGGTTGGGGACAGGAACACATAGATGAAATGAAGCTGGCCTTTCATTGGTAGTTGCTGAAGCTGAGTGATGGGTGCCCAGGAATCATTGACAACTGTCTCCACTTTGTATGTTTGGAAACCTCCATAATAAAAAAAGTTGACAATAAACAAACAAACATGGACTCTGGAGCCAGAATGCCTAGGAAGTTAGTTAACCTGTGTGCTGTACAGATTAACTAAAGGATAAGTGTACCTGTCTCACAGGGTTGTTATGAAAATTACGTAAGTCAACACACAAGAAAGGCTGGGAAAATGCTTAGCTATCATCATCATCTCCTGGGGAGAAACATGGTTACAGACCAAAGGCCATCAAGGAAAGCTATCTTCTCCACCCTCTGATGCTGCTTCATGTCTTTGCTCCCCTGCTCTCCTGCACAGGGAGATCCTTGAGGGATGAAAGGAAGAAGGGTTCTGGGGAGATTCCAGGGAATGAGGAAAGACCTTGGCACCCATTCTTGCAGAAAGTGGTGAAACTGATATGGGCTCTGGGAATGGACCCTAGATTATGAAACACTCAGGGTTCATGGGGCAGAAAGCAGCCAGTATGGTGAAAAGGGTTTCAGGATGTGGGTGGGGTTTGATTTGAGAAAGAAGAGGTCAGCAGAGGTGGGTCATGCAGGCCTTTGGGTCCCCTTCAAAAATGAGGTCTTTGGGATGGCTGGTTAGCTCAGGTGGTTACAGCACAGGGCACAGTGCTCATAACACCAAGGTTGCAGGTTTGATCCCCGCATGGGCCACTGAGCTGCGCCCTCCACAACTAGATTGAAATAACTACTTTACTTGGAGCTGATGGGTCCTGGAGAAACACAATGTTCCCCAATAATCCCCAATAAAAATGTAAGAAAAAAAAAAGTGAGGTCTTTATCACAGAAGCAGAGAAAGCTCCACTGGAGAATGTTTAAGTGTGTGCGGGGGAGGCAAGAGTCACCTGATCAGACCTGCATTGAGATTCTGCCATGCGGAAAAGGGAGGGATTGGAAGGGGGCTAGAGTGGAGGCAGGGAGACCTGTAGGAGGCTTCCGCAGTGGCTCTGGAGATAGATGATGGGGGTTTGGTCTAGGATTCTGGCAGTGGAGACCAGTGGAGTTGAGAGCTGTGTAAGAGATGAGAACACTGGACCTCTGCTGTACTTAGAGGGTGAGGGAGAGAAAGGGGAGTATACGGGTGACTTCCGAGTTTCTTGGGAGTCAATTGGGTGGCAGGTTCGGCTGCTCGCACAGCTGGGAGTGGTGTGGCAGGAACAGATTTGGGGGGAAGACAAGGAGTTCCTTTACATGGATGAAGCACATGCACTGTGCTTTATGCAGGTCATTGTGCTGGAGGAGGAGCACTTCAAAAGCAAATGCAACAAACACTTTTATTGCCCTCAAGAGCAAGTGCCAAAAAAGAGATGCCAGCAATGGCTGCCGGAACAGAGTAGTCTCAAATGTGCATTCACGTGCATTTATGGCTCCACTGGCGATCACAGCAAAGGGCTCAGTCCACTTGGGAGTTCTCAATCAACGTCTGTTGTGTGATAATGTCCCAGAGCAGGTACCAGAAAATAACCACCCTACAAATCTTTATTCAGCACATTCCTATGTGTCTAAGCCCCACCTCAGGGTTAGATAGAGACAACAGAAGGGCCAAGATCAGCCCTTTCTCTCACCAGGTGCACACAGGGGAGGAGGAGACCAAGTAACCACACAGAGAAGTACCAGAGGACCACAGGGCAGGCTGACCTATTAGGATCCCACTGGGGTGACCAAAGAGGTGGGCAGGAAGGAATCAGTGCCTTGGTCCCACCTGGAAGTAATGTCACAGGGGGGAGAGGAGGAGGTGGGCCTGACTAAGCCTTGACAGATGAGCAGAATGTGTGGAGGGCCAGGAAAGGGGGACAGCCAATGAAGGGTCACTCAAGTCCAAACAGAGACACCCCCTGACCTACTCGCCCTAGGTGGTACCCTACACTGGAGGGAAAAACACCAGTCTCGCCTCAGACACCAATACTGAGATGGTTTATTTCTTAAAGAAATTAAAGTCCTTTTCTAAAACAGTGGGGACATTTTCTCTGAAGGCTCAGGAGCACAGCTTCTTAATTATCAGTGAAGCTCGGTGCACCACTTTGCTACCACCACCACCACCAAAAACAAAACAAAAACCCCAAATGCACCGACCTTTGTACATTTCCTTTCTTTCAGTAAACTTCTTTTCTGTCTGCCCCTCACCCCAGGCAAGCCCGGGTTCACTTCAGCCGAGTCCCTTTGCCTTTTCCCTAATAAGGTCTCTTTCCTGGACTCTGGAGGCAGCGAGGGCCCGAGGGCATGCGGCAGCCCCGCGGCGTGGTAACGGTCCCTCCCAGCCTCCAGCCCTAGCCTCACGTCCCGGCTGAGGGTTCGATCCCCATCTCCGTGGCCAAGGACCAGTTAGCGACGCCCCGTCGGTGGTCTCGGAAGAAAAAGACCATTGTCACGGTGCCCCGAAGAGCCCGAGCAAGTCAGATAGAGCCAGGCGCTCGGCAGCGCCAGGGCCCGGGTGCAGAGACCCTTCGCCGAGGTGGCAGNACAAAACAAAAACCCCAAATGCACCGACCTTTGTACATTTCCTTTCTTTCAGTAAACTTCTTGTCTGTCTGCCCCTCACCCAGGCAAGCCCGGGTTCACTTCAGCCGAGTCCCTTTGCCTTTTCCCTAATAAAGTCTCTTTCCTGGACTCTGGAGGCAGCGAGGGCCCGAGGGCATGCGGCAGCCCCGCGGCGTGGTAACGGTCCCTCCCAGCCTCCAGCCCTAGCCGGGCACCAACCGGACGACTCGCTGCTTCAGCGAATCACCCGCCGGCGGGGACCGTGGTCGCCGGGCCGTGAGCATCCCTCAGCTCGTGGCCCTGACCAATCGGGCATGGCGGGCCCGGCTGGGGTGGAGGGCTGGGAGCGTGACCCGGGAGCACGGATGCTGCCCGGAGGCTCCTCCAGCTGCTCCGAAAGACTGTGAGTCCCCACTCGGGGAAAAAGTTAGAAGGCATCTGGGCTACGACAACTTCTCATCCAGAGCCGGACTTGAACTTTCCGCCCGGAGTGGGCTGCACAGCCCAAAGCGACCCTGCAGAAGCCGCTCGAACCCAGGTGCCCCGCATCCCGGAACGCGGCCAGCAGCGGCCAATCACAGAGTGCCTCGGAGAGGTAAGGCTAGAGGGCGCGGACAGCCATAGAGCGACAGCGCCGACGGCCAATAGGGAGCCAAGGTGGGCATCCTGGCCCACCCCCCTGCCAAATGAAAAGGAAGCAACTATGGCCAAGGTCCCCGATTCAGTAGCTGCAGGCTCCGGGGTGGCAGCGGGTCGGAGACCCGAGGGCTAAAGGGGGATTTGGAAGAGGAGTTTGCTCGCCCTCCCTGTGCCACCCGCTGAACCTCAGACCACAGCCCGGCCCTCACCTGCTGGAAACGGGGTTTGCCCAGCTGGAAAGGAGGTGCATCGGTCGAGGTGCTAGCAGCACTTGCCGCTGCCGCCGATGCTGTAGTCGCTGTATCCGCCATGGCCACTGACGCCCGCAATCTCCGGCCCTTTTAAAATGTCCCTCCTCGGCCCCCGCCACAGCTGCCTCTCCCGATTGGCCATAAGCAACCGCAGCGAGCCGGAGGCGCAAGGGTTTCTGGGAGGTGTAGTTTTCCTCGTCACAACGCTCGACAACCCTGGACTGCAGAGTTGCGCGGACTCAGATCGGGATTCGGTTGCCGCTGTTTTGCAGGGGTCGGCAGTCCGGGAAGAGTTTGCGTGTAGGACTCTGAGGTCCCGACAGGGGGCCACGGGGCGACCCCTCGCTGGTTACCTGCCCCTAGAAGTTTGAGTTACTGCGGTGGGCGTCGCTCCTGGAGCTGCAGCCCAGGAGAAGAGCCCTTCTCAAGCGACTCCAACCCGGGACATGACGGGCAAGGACTCCAGGAGGAGTAGGGTTAATCTCCTAAGGCTTTCTGCAGGGAGTTGCACTGCGCAATTCATGCAGTTTCGTCTGTCGCCACCCTGCCTTTCGCCTTGTGCTCTCCAGCCACCGGGACTCTCAGTACCTGGAGCATGCTGGGAGCTCCCCGCCCCCGACACTTGAACATTTCTGTACCCAGAAGACACTTCAACTTTTTATCTTCGCCTGACCCTAGCTCTCTTTATGGCCTGAGTCTAAACATTGCATTTCCCAATCCATTGTCCTACTTCCACAAAATCCACTACATGCTCCTATAGCTCCCAGCACTTCTCTTTTTCAGTCCGTGCATTTATAATTATTTATGGTTTTGACTATGTCTTTCCCACTGTTAAGGTCCACAGGGCAGGAGTTGTGACTTTCGGATTCACTGCTAAATCCTTAGTGCCAGGCATGGGAGGGCTCACAGCAAGGATTCAAAATGTTTGTTGGCTGAGGGCGTTAAACAGCAGGGGCTTAGGATAGCCTTGGCAGCCTCCACTTCCTTTGGCCAACCAAGGAAGATCCCTCAGAGGCCTAATTCCCAGGCAGTAAGAGAACTGGGAGGGGGGTTCGGCAGTGTTTATCAAGCACTATAAGGACTTTAGGTAAGGGGCGAGTATTGCTGATTGTAGAGCAAGGCACCACCAAGGAGAAGAAACACTGGTGGAAGGGAGGGGAGGAGCTGCCTATTTCATCCAAGAAGACAGTAGAAATATTTGTTTTAGACCTTAAGGAACCCTATGTTGGGCTTCCTTAGTCTCGTGGTGAGAGGTACAGGGTTGGTTCATGCCTGCCCTTGTCTCTCTCAACAATCCATGGTCTGCAGCAGTCAGTTCCTCATCCACCAACAGTCAAGCCCCAAGAAACAGACTTTCCTTAAAGCTGGAGAGAGATTCTAGCTAGCCATCAAGAACCATTTGTATCTTGGATTTGTATCTTATCTTTCCCTACTACATTAAGTGGCTTGAGAATAGGAATAAAGTCTTTTGCCCTCTGTATCCCCCACAAGAGTGAGGAAAGGCTGAGTCCAGGCCACTAGGCAACACTGTGCTGCTGCCCTGATGCTAGGACGGGGGCAGTGTCATCCAAGCACCCCATCACCTACCTTGTCCCCCCAGGAAGCCTCCTTCACATGCTCATCAAACCAAGAACAACAGAGCAGTCTGTGAATGTTTTATTCTTCATAAAGTGCTCAAAACATGAAGAACAAGCTCTTTATAAACAGAAGTTACAACTAGGAAGACAAACAGCTAAGCAGAACTGTGCCTGCTCCCTGCCCACCCCACCTACGGCTCTCCTCCAGCTTGTGGCCAGGAGCAGAAACATCCAACAAGAGCCTTGGGCTTCAACTTCCAACTCTTCAGAAGACATCCCTGACCTGGGCATTTTGGAGGCCCAAAATCAAGGATGAGTAGAAGGTGAGGATCAGGGCTGGGACTGAATAGAGCCCAGAGGAGTACCTAGTAGTGAAGTGACCCCCTTCCCCCCAGAAAAGACGCCCCCACCAAACACATGACCGAAGTCCTGGGTACCTGTGGACACTCCTCAGTTTTGATGAGTGGTCCTTAAGGTAGATAACATTACAAGGGCTTTCCCCCATAAGTGGGGCTCCTCTGCTTCGTCCTGGCAGAAGACATCCCTCCACAGAGCACATCCCCTTCCAAGGCTTTCCAAGTGACCCCACAGAGGGCCCCCACAGGCCCACTCATGAAGAAGAGGCGATCCAAAGGAGCTCTCACCTCACTGGGTCAAAAGTAGCCTCCATCAGCACCTCCTCACCCTACAGCTTTGCCAATGCAGGGTGCTCTAAGCCACCAAAGGTCCCCTGCAGACCTTGTGGGGAAGCCTGCTATGTCTTCTGCAAACAAACCAGGGCTGGACCACAGGACAGATACTTCGTTTCAAAGGACACTAGCCAAGCCAGGGAGGGCCATGGGGCAGAAGGGACAAGCTGAGACAGCAGCTAGTTGATGGATGGAAGAGCAACAAAGGCTTTCTCCTAAGTATAGGCAGAGTGGGACCTCCCACTTCCAGAATGTAGTTTTTCCCCAGGATTCCCCTCAATTGGTGTTGAGGGAGTAAGAAGATAGCAGAGAGGTGAAGGGCACAGCAGCAGCTTGGCAAGACCCTTATGAAATTAACTCTAGGGAAGGGGATGCAGCAGGGCTGCCCCATCCTCCATTCCTGTTACCAGGGCCCTGCCAGATCCAGCCCCCCGGTGCTCAACAGGGAGGGGGCGGGGCGCCAACCAGGGGGCGGGGCCTACATCCAGAGGCTCTTGACCCCACCCACAAAAGGCACATTTTATCAGTTTCCAAAAGTTCAAACCCTGTAGCAGCACAGAGTTTTGGCATCTGGACAGGCAACGAGAACAGGGATGGAAGCTTGATCCCCAAACGTAAGTCACCCAAAGCCCCAAGGCCTGGAGGGGCCCACACCTTGGAGGTGGATGAGGAGGTGCTCTCCCCCCACCTGCCCCAGCTCTCCACACATTCACACATGACACTCACGGAAAGGTAGAAGAGAAGGGTAGGGAGTAACCTGGAGGATGCACATCGTCTCCCTCCATCCACACCACACTTGCTCCGCAAACAGCTGGAGACAGACAGACTCAGGACACGGCAGACACAACACTAGACCATACAGGATCCTTGTTCCCAGGGGGACGGACATGAGGCTGAAGAGTAGGTGCCCTGGTTGCCCATAACTCAGACAAGTGGGCAACTTGGTCCCTGCCACAGCCCCAGTAATACTAGGAGCCCTCCAGGGGCTGGAGGGAGATGAAGAGGACAAGCGTTTAGCTGTGGAAGAAATGGCTGACCATCCCTGTGGGGTAATAAAGTATGTCTCAGATTCCACATCAAATTGCAGCTCACCCCTGCTCCATCTTGAGGGCTAAATTCTTTGTTCCAATTCCTGGAGCCCCCAAAGTTAAGGGGTATGAAAATAGACAGGTGTGTAAGATCCATCACCTATGGGAGTCCAAAGCCCCCCACCCCCTTCCAGCAGCCCCAGTTGAGGCAGGAGGGAGAGAGAGCGAGGGGTGACAACAGAGGACAGGCTGCACCCGGCCCCAGGTGACAGTGAGTTCAGCAGGAGGAGGGAGGGTATGAGCCCTGTTTGGGCAGTGGGTCCACGCCAACCCTTCCAGGGTGGGGGGATGAGGAGGGCTACTTGGAGGGTTTGGGGGGGATCTGCAGCAGTGTGGGTGAGGTCTCCATGATCCGCACCAGCAGCCGGTCAATGTAGCTCTCCAGCTCCTGTACATGCTCATCTCGCCGGCTCAGCTCGCGCTCCCGCTGCAGGAGCAGGCCGATGAGCTCATCGTGGGTCAGGTGGTAGTACTTGGCCGACTGGTCCAGCACACCTGAATCCTGAGGCCAGATGGAATGAGGTGAGCGCGGCACCCTCAGGCCTACCTGCCCGCAGGCCCACCGGCCCACCGGCCCACCAACACCCCAGCGGCACCACCACAGGCCCTTGGGGCTGCCTCTGTCTCTAATGCCAGAGATGGCCTACCTGGCTTCAGGGCTCTGGTGTTGAGCACCAGGCCTGCTCCTTGCCCTACCCTGCCCAGGGCCTTGTTTCTGACCTCCAGACGCCTGACCTCTCTCCACAGCACCACACGTCTTGTCTGATGCCCCGTGGCATCCTGCGGGGCCTCACCTTCAGCTGCTTGGTGTCCACGGTCTGGCCAGCCTGGGAGGCCGGTGCCACAGGATGAATGCTGCCAGATGTGACTGTCTTGAGCTTCTCCAGCCCACTGCTCAGGGCCGTGCTCAGACTGGAGCGGGGCTGCTTCCTGTCGGGGCTGCCCTCCACAGGGACAGCACTGAGGGGCTTCACAGGGTGGGGACTGCAGAGACAGACAGGAGACGCATTATAGGGAGGGGAGGGCAGCACAAGGAAAAGGTGAGGCCACAGGTTTGCTGGCAGAGACCCACCGCTTGATGGTGGCTGCCCCCACATAGCCAAGGCCTCAGGACAGCTGTGCCCAGCATTCCTCAGCACCCCACCCATCTCATTCCCTCAGGTGACCTCCCCCCTTCACAGGGACAGCAGAGGCCTCCTACAAACTTCTCTGCACCTATACCCAGTCTGCCAGGGTCACCCTCCATCCATCTTCCCTCCCACCTCCTTTTTATTGCAACCTTTCTCTGCTGGTGGTGTTAGGGTAACTACCAACCCCCTCCCCCAAGTTTCCCAATTTTCCCAGGACTGTGGGGATTCCCAAGATATGGGACTTTCAGTGCTAAAACCAGGAAAGATGTGGGCAAACTGGGACACTTGGTTGCCCACCTCTCTCCACTGGTTGCTTCCCCTCAACATTTTACGCTGGCCTGAGAAACCTTCCCTTGACCTTGTGTTTGCCCGGCTATCACCATCAGTCACCCTCACCTCTTCTTCCTTCTCACCCAAACTCTCCAGAGCATACAGACTGCATTCTGTCGAAAGTTCTCACCTTCACTGACTCCTCAACCCATAGAATAGGACATCAGCCTCCACCAGCCTATCACAAATGTTCCTGCTGAGGCCACCAACCCCTCGGTTCTCACCTTGCTGACCTCTCTGTGGAGCTGACTCTTGGACCACTCCTTTCTTTGGACTGCTCCCCAAGCCCTCCTCTGGTTTTCTGACCTCTGACAGCCCCGTCTCGGTCCACAGGTATGCTCTGGGGTTCTCTTCCCTTCACCCTCATTGCCATCTCCAGCCTAGACCTCAGCCCTGAGCAAACAGTGCAGGCTGGCTCGCTCCACTGGGGGTCCACTCCAGGCATGTCACCCTCCCCTCTATGCCCTTTCCTCTGCTCCTGAGCAGCGAGTGGCACCATTAGTCTCTCAGGGCTCCAGTCAGAAACCCAGGGATCCCTCTGAATCCCCTGCTGCAGCTTCAGCCTTGACACACATCCAGCCCGGCTACCTTCTCACCTTCTCTCACACCACCCACCCCTCTCCAGAGAAAGCTTGCTTAAACCTTTCTTCTGGCCACAGCTGCTAAGTCAAGAGCTCCTCAGGGAGTCCTGCCCACCTCCAGCCACTCCTCCATTCTGCTGGGGGCATGATCTCAGCCTCCCTCTCAGGGTCAGAAAACAGTCTCTAACAATTGACCCCTGCCCTTTCCTCCTGGTTCTCTGCCCCCATACACTCCAGCCCCAGCTGCGGAGAGGGAACTCTCTCTCATCTTTAGGCTCCTACAAAAGCTGCCCCTCTGGAATGCTGCCCCTTCCCTGAGGGCCTGCTAACTCCTACTCATGTTTCAAAGCTGTGCCTGGCCACTTCCTCCAGGAAGCCTTCCTGATTCCCCCAGGCTAACTGAGGTGACCCTCCTCTGGGAAACCCCCAGCACTCTATACCTGTGACAGTTACCCAAACTACAAGCATCAGGCCCCTAAATCAACTAACCTACCCTGAGGGGACCTCTGAAAATTGACACTCACTTCACTGAGGACTCAAGACGATTTGGGAGTAGGAAGCAAAATGGCTTAGGTCAAGGCCCTGAACTCCATTGGAAAAGGGCTCACCCACATCCAGAGAAGTCTGCCCTGTTACTCAGGAGAGGGCCATGGTTCAGGCTCACAAGCTGGGAATAGTAGCAGAGAGCCCAGGCAGGGGCAGGCAGTAGGGGAAAGAATGCATCTCAGTCTGTCCTTCCCGCCTAGGAGCTTGCATTAGAGAAGGAGGTGTAAAGGCAGCTCTAATGCCACCTGGAGGCTGTGCTGAGGGAGGGGAGGGGATCAGTGAAGGCGTAAAAACACCCGGAATGAGGGGCCTGGAGTCCCAGTATGATTGCCTTCTTGCATCTGAGGGACCCTGGACCTTTCATGGACTCCATTTCCTTCTCTGAGAAATGGGGACAGCTCTCTTTGGCCCACCCACTTCATGATGTAAGGAACATACCAAGTACAGACATGAAGCCAACTCTGAAGAGAACAAACCTTCTAAAAAGTGGCGAGTGTAATTAGAAGTGCCGCTGGCATGCAGCAGGGCCAGCTGAGGACACTGGGAAGCTGTAAGCACCTCCTCTCCCACGCCTCTGGGAATGGCATCGCCACCTACCACTGGAACAGCAGGCGGGGCAGCCCAGATGCCTTCCCACCCAGTCCTGATATATCAGCACTGGCCCCAGGCCTTCCCTTCAGGCTCAATTCCATCTTCCCCACTGGACTGGAAACTCCTGGGGAATACAGTGGGGACAGTGACTTTCATCTCTGTTCAGCATCTGACACACAGCGGCTGCTCAGTGAATGTGGAGGGCTGAATGTATGAGCCGGCGGGCTGGGGCCTCACAGAGGCCCGTGCTGGAGTCTTGCCTGCTCCCCAAACCCCCCTGGCCGCCCCTGCTCCTCCCGTGTCTTCACTCAGGCCTCCTAGAGCACTGGCGCCCCCCGCCCCGGACTCTGCTGCCCCTGCTAAATCACACCCTATCACCCCCCAGTGACCTGTGTCTGCAGGCCTTAGCTCTGCTCACCACTCGCCAGACACCCAGTGAGGTCATAGCCTCATAATTCTCCCCAAACAGACCGATGCCACAGTGACCACAGTCACACCAGCATCCACTGTGGACTCAGCACTGTCCTGAGCACAGGGGACCACCCCGAAGGCACAGATGCAAACGGTGAAGCACCTGATGAAGCTAGAGAGCCCCGTTCCTCCGAGAGTCACACACGTGGGGAACGTTTTTTTTACCTTTTGTCCTCCAATGGGGTCTCCACTTTCCTCTCGGACCTCAGTACCAGCCCCTCCTCTGGCTCTCTGCCTACAGCAGCCTCTCACCCTGGGGTCTGTCGCAGAGGACACCGGGGGCCCCCATTTGACAAGCTTCACTGCCCCCAGTCCCTAGGGGCTGAGTGCCCGAGCTCTCATCCTTCTTCCCTGTTGACCTGCATTACCTCTCCCCATCCCACTCCTCACCCGCTGCACTTCATCGGCAGCACCCCTCAAACCGCTGGCTTGTGGGGGCACCTGTTGGACCAAGGTCTCAAAAAGGAGGCAGCTTCAGAGCCAGAACCCCAGAAGGCTCATATCTTCAAAGCCTCCCTTACCCTGCCCAGGTGAAGAAGCCCCTCGCCCTCCTCTGGAGGGTCTGAGGCTGAACCAGGAACCCTCAGCCCTTGGGCTGCAACGCCCCCTTGAACCCCCTTCCTCCTGGAGAGTGCTCCCGGAGTGGCTGCTCACCTGGCGCTGGGCTGTGGCTCCTCAGCTGGTCGTGTCTCCAAGGGCAGAAGCACAAGCAGGGAGGCTGGGGTGGCTGCAGCGCGGTCTTCCCCAAGTGGGGTGGGGGAGGCTGGCTCCCCAGGGGGTGGGGAGGAAGAGGTCAGGGGCCAGGCTCCTGGTAGGGGAGAGCACAGAGGGCTGGGCCCCCCGTGGCGGTGGCTGGCCCAGGGTGGGAGAGGGGGCGGTGGAAAGCCAGGCTCTGGGGGAGTGAGCAGCTCTTCTGGACCAGAGTGGATGGAAGAGTCTCTGGACCCTGGAGGAGATGTGGATGGGAGGCTGGGGGGGTCTTGGCTCCCCTGAGACAAGAAGGGGTTCATGGCATCCTCCTCCAGGGCCCACAAGTCAGCCTGTTGGGAGCTGCCTGGCAGAGGTCCAAGCCCTTCTTCTGCTGGCCCCTGACTCTGGGCCTCAGGACCTCCTCTCTCCGGAGCCCCCCAGATCTGCTGACTCTGAAAAGCCAGGCTCTTTGAGTAGGAGGGTACGGGGGCAGGACCCTTGGGGCAGCCGGTGGACAGAGAGAGGCAGGACCCAGACACAGGCGGGCTAGCATCCTCCGCTGGCTCTTCCAGGCTTGGCTCGCCCAGCAGAGTTCCAGAAGAACAGCTGTCCGACTCTGACCCCCGCTTCCTGCCCTCCGCCTTGGCCTCCCGGGGACCAGCAACCAGTGCGCTTGGGAAGGTGTCTTCTTCTCCTGTCTCTGCCCCCCTGCTGTTCAGCCCCCCTGCAGCCATCTCCTCCTCCTCCTCCTCCGCCTCCTCCTCCTTGTCCTGGAAATCTGAGGGTGTGAAGAGGCGGGGTGGCTTGGGGGGTGGCATGCTGGACTGCAGCCCCTTGTCCGACACCCACTCAGGTGTTGGCTCCAGCTCCAGTGAGGGAAGCCCCTGGCTCCCCTTGGGGCTCACAGGTTCTGGCGACTCTGGCTGCACCTGGGAAGGAGGCAGCTCATTGGACTCTCCCCGGATTGGTGAGGACATCTCAGCTGCAGGAGAAATGGTGACCACATCCCAAGGCCAGGAACTGTCGACTGTATTGAGCTCGTGCAAAAGCTGGCTTTCGCCTTCAGAGGCCTGCTCATCCGGGTCCTCGGGGGCGTCGTCTGGGCCCGGCAGCCTCTCCCACACACTGATCACCTCTGGGGAGCTAAACAGAGATGTCGCACTGTCTGCTGGGCTCTGCCCTGCTTCGCCTCCTGGGGCTGTCGGCTCCCTGTCTGCTTCGGAGTCTGAGGCTTGTGGGTGAAGCAACACTGATGTGGAGGGCAGGCCTGCCCCTACCAACCCCAGGGGCTCCGAGTCAGCCGTACTCGTGCTCTGGTGGTCCAGTCCCAAGTCCGGAGGAACCCTGGGCTCCGGCCACACACTGCTCCCACTTTGTCCTCCTCCCCCAGGGTCCCCCGGGAGCTCAGCTGCCTTCACTGTCTTGGCCCCAGGGCCTGGGTCTTGCAGCCCAGTCGCCTCCAGCCCCACTTCTGCAGGGGCCAGGATCTCGCTCCTGGCCTCTGGACGTTGCCTGCCGGCAGTACAGACGCTGAAGGTGTCGTCCCACTCAGGCGGGGCTTTCCCAGGGGAGGCCAGGGGGGTGGGGCTGGCCCTCGAGGCACTGGGGAGAGAGGGAGCATGTGAAGGAGAGTTTAGTGCTATGTCGGCTCTGAGTTCCTCGAAGAAAGGGTTGCTCTGCAAGGAGGTGAGGAACGGGTTGGTGAGACCCAAAAATCCAGATGGGGTGGCTTCAGGGGCGGCCGTGGCAGCAGCAGCAGTGGCAGCAGCAGGGGAGGCAGCTGCAAAAAGGTTAGTGCTTAGCATGGGAGCAGCGATGGGAGCAGGAGTGGGAGGGGCCGGAGCACAGGGGGAGCAGGGGAGGTGGTGAGGAACAGCAGCTGGGTCAGGTTCTACCTGAGGAGACACGTCCAGGCTGTGGAGGGAGACAAAACCGTGAGCCTCCTGGTTAATGCCAAGACTGGAAACGCCCTGCAGAATACCACGCCCCCTGCCCCCCCACCCCCTGCCTTGGGGTGAGATGCCTCAGCCACACAGGCTGGGTTCGGGCACATGTGTGGGCCAGGGGACAGAGGGAAGACCTTAACATGTAACTTTCACTGGGTACCACCCAAGGGGAAGATGCTGGGTAGAGTTCATTTAATCCTCACACCAACCCTGGGGAACAATAATCCCACTTTACAAGCAGGATCCAAACCTACACCAAATGTGTTTTCCACTACCCTGGGCTGAAGATTCGACTCAATGCCAGTATTACGCCTGAAAACAACAACCAGAAAGTGCCTTACACTCCTTCAAGGACTGAGAAAGGAAAGAAAATGTCAGCTGGCTGGAGGGCATAGAGACCAGGGAAAGGCCAGCCTAGGGATCTGGCCGGACAAAAACAGATAAGACTGGTTTCTACTGGCTCCCGCAGAAAGGGGAAATGATGATGGGGCTGTCATCAGGCATGACAAGGTGTCAGGGTATAACTGGCCAAGGAGGACAACAAAACATGGCTGAGGACATCTACTGTCAGGTGTCCACACAGCCCAGCACCTGGCAGACAGTGCCCCTCACCAAAGGCACCCACGTGCCAGCCTTGAAAGCAGCCCTGCTGGGGAGACAAAGGCTAGACTGTGGAACAGAGGCACCAGCAGCAACTCTAGATGTCAGCAGGGGCCTCCTGGGGTCCCCCACACAGGTCCCTGGCTCTCCTGGGAAATCCATGCCGTGGCAGTGAACATGGGGGCATTGCCTGCACTTGCACTTTATCTACAGTGCCCGCTGACTTTAGGGGTGTGGACAGGGGCAGACTCTGAAACTAGAGCTCCTGGCTTGCCCAGGACACTCCCAGGACATAGACAGAAGTCCCCAGAAAGGCAGCACAGGACCGAGCTCCCATGTGTAGCAGTCTGGCTGTGGTTTGCAGCTGCTTTGAGGCTGAGCCCATCTGTCAGACCCAGGCCTCAGTGGCCTCACTGCTGTCCTGGCCCCGTCTCCCAGCCCCTGCTCCAAGCCCCGAGATCCCCATTCCCTGACCTCTGCCCAAGTGGAAACATCCTGGGGAACACCTACACATCCATCTTTTCCACTCAAGTTGCTTCTTCCCATGGGGAAATCCTGGGTTCAGGCCATAAGGTGGCAGAAGCCAGCCTTCACCAGTCAGCCCATGAGGACTACAGGTTGGGGTAGGAGGGCATTTAGGGAAAGAAGCCAAGAAGTCTGGAGTTTGCCAGGATTCTTCTAAGAACCCAGGGCCCAGAGAGGGCAGGCCCCACACACAGAGGGCCAGAGGAAGGGCCAGTTCATCCACAAACACCGGAAGCAGGAGATGGGAAGGAGTCGGTTCAACCAGCAGCCAAGGTGGGCTTTCCGAGAGACTGTGAGTCCGTGAGCCTAGCATTACAGGCAGGACACAGCCAGGTCCCCATCCACCGGGGTTTCTCTTAAGAATCCAGCTCCTAAAGACTCTCCTGACCCTGCTTTTGTCCTACAATAACTCCTCATCCAAGGGGTCCCAGTCTCACGCCACCACCTAGAGACGGAGGGAGAAGAGATAAAAGTCTCATCCACTCCCACCCCACCCAGACCTCCCAGCACTGCTCTGCCTCTATAGTCACAACATGGTGATGATACTGAAAGAGGGAGAATCCTGGGCCCAGAGTCCCAACCTCTGCAAACATCCCTTCTCCCTTCATTCTAGGCAGGCCCCAGGACCATGGCGTGTACACATGCCTCCCCTGGGGACCAGAGAGAGCAACATACCACCAGCATGTGGGTTAAGACCCTGCCCTGAGGTACCCCCCTGGGAGCACCCACAGCAGATACAGCCCAACCCTGCCAGGAGGACTGAGCCCCCAGGAACAGGGCTAGGGTACTTTGAGCCACCCCTCTCCCCAGGCCCCTTTATGATGAGTGGCCTGAGGGGGCTAGGGAAAGAAAGCTCCATCAACATTAAATAGCACCAAGCTTTAGCTCTACAGCCCCTCAGCCGCAGCCTGGCCCCACTCACCCTTGCAATTTTGCAGCAATCTGGCTGGCAGTCAGAACTACAGGGCAGCCGAGTGGCAGGGAAGTAGGCTGGGGACCCAGGCTAGGCTGAACTCCCCCTCCCCCACGGGCTCCCCAGAGGTGCACACAAGCCCGTTGGTATGGAACCGGCAAAGGGCTCTCCCCAGAGGAAGGGACTCTAGGTGCCAGGCCTGGCAGTGGCACCCTTGAGAGCATCCAGTCTATCCCTCCTACCCAGCAACGACCCCTCCCCCATGCTTCCCTTGCACCATGAGAGGCTCATTCTGTGGGTTCTCACTCTAAAATGCTTTGCAGGTTACGCTCTGAAGACAGACATAAACACGAGTTCCAGAATCCACCATGCCAGCCTAGCACAGTGCCATCCCCCTGTCAAGGAGCTGGGGCTTCAACCTACGCTGATTCATCTTCTCTTTTACGACCAAAAGGAGGGGGAGGGAAATCAGAAATCCAAACGGCTCTGTGGCTTCAAACTACGGAAAGAAAACTTTAGGGCCTGTAGGAAACTTAGAAGAATTGGTTGAACCTGCCATTTAATGCAGGGATCACCTGTTCACTCCAACAGCCCTCCCCTTTTAAACACTGCTGCCACCGGGCAACTCACTCCACCTCCGGGCCACCTCTGTAGCCAGAGGCCACATCTCACTGGTAGGCAGCTCTTCCTTAGGCTGAGATGAGCTCTGCGTCCTTGTTATGTCCATGCGACCCAGAGGTGGCGGGTGGATCTGAAAGGCTCTCCACCAGGCAGCCCCCAGAAAGGCCAAAGCCAGTCTTCATGCCCTTCAACCATCTCTTTGTGTTTGGGACTGTCAAGACCATGGGTGCTAACCCCACCAGGGACAAAGCAGGCTGTTCTTGTCTGTCTCTCCCTTTTTAACCCTTTTAGAGTACGACCTCCTGGCACCTGCCTGAGATAAGCCCGATGTCCAGGAAACACATCCAGGAGACTGGACATATCCTCACCCATCACCTGGGCACAATGAGGTGACATAGAGGAGACCATATAATTGATCTCCCAAACCAGAACATGTTTAATATGGTAAAAGGCGCCATTAACTATGCCGGGAAAACAGGCACAAACAGGACTGTATGGCCACACTAAGTCACTACACACACAGCGTAGTTACTCATTTACTCCACAGAGAATGCTGCTGCGACTGCAAGCTTTCAGTGGCCACTGCCCACTGCAGGCTCACAAGGACCTTGTCCACCACCCCCGGTAGGGGGATGGGGCAGAGGCAGAGATCACGAAAGGCCACCATGATACACTTGTCTCTATGCTGTACCATGCTCACCCCTTAATAAAACGATGTCGTATTCACCACCTGCTCCCCTGCTTACACAAAATGTTATGGTCAGTGTGAGGGGGGAGGGGTCGGGAGCACAGAGTGACCTGCCCTTGGGAAGCTGATGCTCTAAAAGGGTTAGAAAGGGAGGGACAGACACAAAAAACAATCCGCTTTGGCACTGCTGTGGTTAACACCCATGGTCTTGATGGTCCCAAACACTCTTTGGGCCTCTCCATGGGGCATCAGTGTCACCTGGGAGCACTAGAGGGCGCCGCTGCCCTTCCTAGTGGGGAATACCCAGCAATCTGCAATTGCAGCCCCAGGGCACAGGCACCCCAAACCTCAGGGCCTGTGGACAGGCTCCTTGTGTCCCAGCTTGGGACCCTGCAGCTACATTCGGCCACTCCAGTTCTGGGTGTCTAACCTACAGCTTCCTGCGGCAAGTCAGCTCACCTTTTATATTCTCTTCAAAAGCCCTTGGCAAGCCCTCTGGGTAAGCACCAACTGCCATTTCTTCCAGACCAGCCTAGGCATCTCCTCAAGGCACACAGGGCCAGGGTGATGCTGATGGAACTCAATTACCAGGTTTCACACCTCTCCAGGCCAAGCCAATCTACCCAAAGGAAAGCCCCTCCCGCCCTGCCTAGACGCAAGGCCACAGAGCCTGCCCCTGCAAACAGCCCCAGGGCGGGCAGGAATGTCCCAGGCACCCTCCAACCAGGAGAGGACAAGCTCAAAATTCCAATGCAAGAAGGACAAACACCTCAGCTTCCTTATGGCCATCAGTGACCCAACTTCTCAGGACTCTGAAAGGCAGTTAAGAGACATGGAGAAACGGGAGAAGGAAAACAGAGGCTGTAAGCAGGAGCAGTGACAACCCCAATATCACTCTGAGCCCAAAGCCTGGGCAGGCACCTAGAAATGGCCTTACAGAGAGATGTCCCCCAGCATCTGTTCTGCCCCAGAAAAAAAGGCCCAGAGACACCCCACAGCACTGAAAACCCATTGTCTGTGCCGTTCTGATGCAGGCCCCCCGCTGCTCCCAGCAAATGCCCTGTCCAGGTCTTTTTCCATTCCACCACCACCAAATATTTCTGAATTGTCACAAGGCCACCAGGCTGAGCCTGGGCATCTGAGAAAGGCCCATCTCAATCTGCCCCCAGGCTACAGGTGGCCAGCAGTCCCCCTGGGCTCTGGTGAACAGGGGCGGGGCACTAGGGACCGAGGCTGATGGACTAAACAGGGGGGGGCAAAGGGTGGCATCACCCAGAGACTGATCCACCCCATACATCTGTTTATGAGGCTGCCAGCTGGCCAGGGCCCCGACCGAGAGAGGCCCTGCATCTCTTTGCCTACTCCTCTCGGCAGACTCAGAATTTCACAAGAAAGAAAAGAACCAGGACTTCAGGCGTCTTCTCCCTCTGCTGGGAAAGAGGGTTAGGGGCCTTCCCTCTGCCCTATCCCTTGACCCTTCCCTACTGTGCCCAGCCTTCCCACCCACCTCCTGCCCCTAGATCCATGGAGGAGGAGGGGCAGGGCTTGCGAAGAGAACAGAAATGGCTGCCCCTGCCACACTGGTTAAGTCTGCCATAGATGCTCCCACCCAGCGCTGGCCTTTGGGAAGCGGAACATACGTGTCTGTGGCCTATGCCTGGAGTTCCACCCTGGGACCTAATGGGCAGTGCAGCAGCCTTCAGGGGCTCAGAGGCAGGAAAAGGCAAGGGGGCCAGGGGCTCCATATTGTGATTTTTAAGATATTTCTATATGGTCTTCATCCACAGTTCCTGGATCACAGCTCCCAAAACTCCTGAAATTTCCTGAGTGATACAAGTAATGGGGGGGCATCTTTTGTTAATATTTGTTCTCTTGTCCTCAGTTCCTGAAAACAATTTTGAGCCATAAAGGTGAAATGGGTGTTTGTTACTCATAACAAACCCCTTGCACCACAACTGGGTTTATGTTAATAAGGTGACTTTTGGAAAGCACTTAAGGTGGGGGGGTGGCAGGATGAGGGCTGGTTGCCAAGGGAAACAATCATAAACAGAAGGTTGGAACTCTCAGTCCCATCCCCAAATTTCTGGGGAAGGGGTGTGGCTGGAGGTTGAATCAACCACTAACGGACAATTATTTAATCACTCACACCTATGTAATGAAGCCTCCATAAAAACCCAAAAGGACCCAGCGAGCTTTCTGATTGGTGAGCACATGGAGATTTGGGTAGAGTGGCGAACGAGGAGAGAGCATGGAAGCTCCTTGCCCTTTCCCCATTCCGTGCCCTGTGCTTCTCCTCCATCTAGCTACCTGAGTTATATATGGCCTTTTATAAAACTGGTGATCTAGCAAGTAAAATGTTTCTATGAGTTCTGTGAGTCTTCCTAGCAATTGCATCGAACCTAATGAGAGGGTTGTTAGAACCTCCTATGTGTAGCTGGTCAGTCGGAAGCACAGGTGACAACCTGGACTTCTGACTAGTGTCTGAAGTGGTGAAGGGAGACGGGGACTGTCCTATTGGCCTGAGCCCTTTACCTGTGGAATCTGATGCTCTCTCTGGGTAAACAGTGTCAGAATCGAGTTGAATTGTAGGATATACAGCTGGTGTCAGAAAATTCCTTGGATGTGTGGGGAACCCCCCGCCATCACCACACTGGAACTGGGTGAAGAATCCTAACTGGTATCAGAACCCTCTTAGGAGCTCTGCTGAAGGCCTGAGCTAAAGGACTCCTGCCTCCCTGTCTTGGGTGGGACTCAGCACATTCAAAACAGACCAGCCATCAGCAGTACTTGCCAGGCCTCAAAACAAAGAGATCCAGAGAAGGCCAGAGCCCAGGGGTCTCTAAGGACAGAGGGTAGGTTACAGATTTCAGGGGAGGTGCCCACAGCCTCTTGCCAAGCCAGGGGAGCAACTGGAGGTGGGTGTGTGTGTTGGGGGGAGGGGGGTTGGGATGGGGACATCAATTACTAGCTCCCATCTCTCAGGGGAAAGAGATGGAGAGCCAGCTGCGGCCGCTGGGGGGAGCTGGCCAGCTTCAGGGAGGGTGGCAGAAGGCTGAGGTATCCTTCGCAGTCTCCACCTCTCTACCTGCCAAGGCTTCCTTACCTTGAGGCCAGAGGGCAAAAGGTGGCGGTTAAGAAGCAAAGAATTCATACAGATGGCCTTCCTGCTTTTCTCCTATTCCTCCCCCTCTCCTCCCTCATGGGGTTGGTGTGCCAACTCATGAAGCAAGGCCCACCCATGAAGGCCTGGGCTCCTCCATCCCTGGGGCCCTCAGAGCACTGTGCCCCCGAGACTCACCTGCATCCCAGTGCAGACAACGAGCCCTGGCTTAGGGAAACCCCGCTCAACCATGCAAAGCCAGAGCCCCAGCAGCCTGCCCAAGGGCCACATCGGCTCCGTCCTCCCAGCACCAGGATCCAGGCTGCAAACACCCCAGCATCCTCCCCGAGGGGCCAAGCTGGTTTTACCAAAGACGTACCTGGGTTTCTGTGTTGGTTCCTTGGCTTCCCTCAAGCCAAACCAGCTACTCTTGACCTTTTCCTCCCCGCCGGATGAATGATGAGGGGAGGCCCCCAAGGTGGGACCCCCTCTTTCCCCCAGAGAGCCACGGCGCCCCAACTCGCTCCGACTCAGCCCCTGGTGGTGATGGTGGAAGAGGCCCATCCGGGGCTTCCGCTCCTCCTTCCGCGCTCCTTCCTTCTCTGCCACAGCCTCGGAGGAGGCCACCATGGGCGTGGCAACCTGCACTGGCTTCCCCTCTGGGAGCCGGGCCCCCTCTTCCTCTCCAGAGTGACTGGCACCCGGGGCCAGCACTTTGGCCTGAGTGCTCAGCATCTCCTGTCCAGGCACTGCCTCTGAACTGCTGGTGCCGTGGCTGCCTCTGCCCCAGGAGTCATCTGCAGCCCACGGCCCCTCCTCAGAAGGCCTGGAAGAGACGCTGTGCAGGGAGCTGGAGGGCGGACACGGGCCAGAGATGGAGCTCCGGTGCCGCAAGGGGCCCTGGGGCTCCTCGTTGTAAATGTGGCTCCCGTTAACGCAGAGAGAAGAGCGGGAGGCGGAGTCGAGGTGGCCCTGAAGGTCTAGAAGGGCCCGCGGTGGGGCTGCTCGCATCTGGCTAGCCTCGTCGCTGTAGGTCCTTTTGTGGGTGAGCAACTTAGGGGACTGTGCAGAATCCCTGCCTAAAAAGGAAGCACACTGGGGGTTAGCATAGGGAAGAGAAGCCCTGTTTTCCTGGCCCTGGGTCAACCCTGCTCCCTTGAGGGGAAAGACCAACCACTGCTACCCTCCTCAGCAGGTACTACCCATCCCTGCAGGTGCTACCCACCAGCAGACGCTACCCATCCCAGCAGGTGCTACCCATCCCGGCAGGTGCTACCCACCAGCAGGTGCTACCCATCCCGGCAGTTGCTACCCACCAGCAGATGCTACCCATCCCGGCAGGCATGGCCCCTCGCTCGCTCACCCCCTTCGGTGGACAGCCAACTGCTGCGGCTGGGCGAGCGGGTGAGGAGCTCGGCGCCTGGGCCCTGGTAGACCAGGCTCCCGCTGGCCGAGGACAGGGTGCTGTCCGAGCCCAGTGAGGTGTTGGACTGGGTCAGGGATGACTTGCGCAGCTTATTGCGGAGGAAGAAACCTTTGGCTTTGCCCATCTTGCCCAGGCTGCCCAGCTCAGGATCCCCCGGGATGCTGCTTGGGAGGATAGCAGAGGCCGATTCCAGGTCATACTTCTTCTTGCCCTTCATTTTGTCCTTGATCTTGCTGAAGGGGGACCGTGGCTTGTCCTTCATGGACAGGTCAAACATACTGGCGCTCAAGTTGTTGCGAGTGAACTGGATGGTGACTTGGATTTCCCCACGTTCCTTCTCCTTCTTGCCTGCCTTGGAGTGCAGCTTGTACCACCTGTGAGAAGAGGGGGAGCAGGCAGAGCCCTGGTCACAGACACAGAGAGCCTGGCCTCCACGAGGCTGGCCAGGCACCTAACAGGGCCCCTCTGTGCTTTGGGGGCCACGAGAGCCTCTTCCCACAGACTCCTGCTCTGACCCACAAGCCCTGCCTTCCAGGCCACAGGCATAGCTGAAAAACTATCCAAAGCTTTTCCAGGATGGAGAAAACCACATCCTGAGTAGGGGGAGCTCCGTGGTGCTACTGGGCAGGGCAGCAGTTACAAGGCTATGGCCCCCTCACACCCCAGCACCTTCCCTGGAGCTCAGAGACCTCGCCTCTGTCCACGCCCCACGACATCTGAAACTCTGAGGCCCAGAGGGCTGAGGCTGGGTCTGGCAGGGATCCTTACATCTCCAGGCCCCTGGTATGGACAGACCTGCCCACATTTTCCCCTGTTTACATCATCTCCTCTGGCCAGTCCCAGCTAAAGCTCTGCTCTGAGTTACCAGCGAGCCCAGGAAAGAACAGCTCACCCAGAGGCCCAGGGCCAGGAACACAGGCACACTAGTGAATGTACATGTACACGTACACACACACACACACCCTCACCCACTCACTGACTCACCCCAAGCCCTGCCAGGAACACCTCTGCGAGACGTAGGAGCAGACAAAATGCCATAAAGGGGCCTTGAGCAAGAGACTCAGAAGGGAGAGAGCACTTGTACCTACTGTGTGTTACAGTGGAGCACAGGGCTTCGCATCTCATTCCCACTCACACCTCACAAAAAAACCCATGAAGCCAGAGACACCACCCCAATTTTACAGGTCAGGGGGCTGAGGCTCAGAGGTAAAGTAACCCGTCGAGAATAAGCAGCTCCCAGGAAGCAGAGGGGAGAGGCGGAGCCAGGTTTTCATCACTCCAAAGCCTACGTTCTTCCCACCACACACTCCCAGAGGCCCCTCACACACATGCCAGGGTGGGTGGAGCCCACCCTACAGGGGAGGGGTGTGCAGGGAGCCCTTCATTCCTCTGTTTCCCAACTCCTCCCCCCCAACCACTCAGGCAGGCTCCTGGAAGAAGGCCCGAGAAGGATGGGCTGAGCAAGCCGATCTTGCCTGGCTGGCCACAACACGAGCCTCTGTGTAGAGCAGCTGCACAGCTCCACAGGCCCCCTTCCCACCCCACTCGCCCAGCTCACACGCCTGCCTATCTCCACAGGTGTGCGCAGAGAGATTCCGCAGAGAGAAGGCACCAGAATGGTTCTGGACGTAGGGACACCAACCCTAAATGGCGAGGTCAGATGCAGCTGAAAACAGGCGTGACTGGGAATCGGCCCCCTTCTTTTCTCAAACCAGCACCCAGAGTACACAACCTCCCTGGCCCACAAGAGCTGAGATAAAATAGTCAGAGGATGTGTTCCAAGATAAATTGGAGGTGATCGCCAGGATGTAGAAGGACCACAATGAGGCAATTATTAGAGGTCAATCCAAGGAGGTTCACCAACAAATAACTGGGGAATAAAGAAAAAGAGCAGAGTCTGTTCCCATGTGTGAGGGCCTTGGGGGTCATCTCTCCAATCCTCAAAACAAGAGCTGAGCAACCTGAAGATCAACAACTCACAGGGGACTTTTAGGCAGTGAAGCTATTCTGTATGATACCATAATGGTAGATACAGGTTATTATATATTTATCAGAACCCATAGAAAATAAAACACAGAGTGAACCCTGATATAAACTATAGGCTCTAGTCAATAATATTGTATCGATATTGGCTCATCAATTTTAACAAATGTACCACACTAACATAAGACGTTAATAGAGGAAATTGGGGTGAGGGTGGGAAGACTTAGGGATTATATGGGAGCTTGGTACTTTCCACTTGTTTTTCTGTACTCTTAACACAACAAACTTTATTAATTAAAAAAAAAAGAAAGGGGATCGGCTGAGTGGTGCGTTGGTTAAGAGTTGGCTTGGGACGCCAGCTCTGAACAGCAGGGCCAGGGTTCAGATCCCATACGGGCCAGTGGCACTGCCCTCTACAGCTAAGATGGTGAACAACAGCTCGACCTGAAGCTGGGCTGCTGTGAGTCACTGGCGATGGTGTGGGCTGCAGTCCCTGCTGCAGTGGGGTGCCATGGGCTACCGTGAGTGGCCCGCAGCCAGCGTGAGCTGCCAAGAGCCGCCGTGAGCGGCCGTCCAGAGACCGGCGACTGATCTGCCTCACCCGGGAAGAGTGCAATGATAATACCAACATGGGCCAGTGAAGCAACATCCTCCACAACTAGACTGAAGAACAAAAGGACAGCAACTTCTCTGTTCCCCTTCCCCGATGCCCCAACGCTGTTCCCCTCTCCCAATTCCCCAATAAAATCTTTAAAAAAAAAAAAAAAGACAGTACGTGCAGAGAACACAAAGAGGACAAAACTATGAGAGAAATCATACAAGAAACTTTTCCTGAACTGAAGGACAAGAGCAGCACCACAGAAAGACCCACACGTATGCAGCATGATGAACAAAGAAAGACCCAGCCAAGATGATCAGGTATAAAAGGGAGATGCCGAAGGCTTCCAAAAAGGGGAGACAGGTAAAATACCCAGGAATACAACAGCATCAGGTCCTCACCAGTGACACTGGGCATACAGGAAGTTATGCCTTCAGGATTCTGATGGGAAAGTTTGACGCCTAGAATTCTAGACCCAGCCAATCAAGCATGACAGTGCAATAAAGCCTGGTAGAGACGGTCAAATTGGTCACTAAAGGACTCAAAGAGTCCCTTGGTGCGCGCGCACACACACACACACACACACACACACACACACACACTCACACACTCACACACATACACATACACACACACACACATACACACACACACACACACACATACACACACACACACACACACACACACTCTCCCCCGCACACCCTCCACACACATTCTACTCACTACACTGCACCACATGCACACCCACCACACCCCGCATACACACGATACGCTGTACCACACACATTACACAACCATCCACGTGCCTCAGTCAGCACTGTAGAGGTCATCTCCCACCTGAGATCTGCCTACCCCACAGCACCAGCTCCCCAAGCTTCTCTTGGACATAAAGGGCTTGGAAGTGGGTGATCTTTCATGTGAAAAATCCCTATACATCCAAATGTCCAGAATTAAATCATTGCAAGGGCTTGGAGACGGTGGTTGTTTTTAATGCTGAAACTTTAAAAAAAAAAAAAAAAAAGGTCTTCCCAGGGGCATCTCCAACTGCATCCCTGGAAGAGGCCATCATGACTTAACTCTTGTGTGCCCATTATGGGCCACACCTGGGTGGCCACTCAACGGCCAACGACCTGAGCAGAGTGAGCCTGGGCTGTTGGTTTTCCCTCCCAAACCTGAGAGACCATCCCTGGCAAGGCTGGGTCAGGAGAGACGAGACACAAGCTGGGAGGGTGCAGGGCCATGCTCAGAGGGTGTGTGCACATCTCCAGGCTCTCATAACGAGCAGGAGTCAGGAGGGAAAGGGTGTGTTGGGGAGGAGTGACGGGAGAAGAGAGCTAAGTGAGACAGACAGACTGAAGGGATGTGTGTGAGGACGTGTCTGGGGGCAAGAGAGGAGGTCCCATAAAAAGAGGAGCCAGCTAGCATCAGCATCCTCACACCCCCACTTTCTCAACCCCATGCCCACCCTGGGCCTGATCCTTTCACTCTTTAGAGGCCAAGCCCTAGTCCCTTTCCCCAATCCCGGCCTAGGCCTCATTTAGGACAGGAAGATCCTGGGAGGTGGGGCAAAAGAGAGGTGTGTGACCTCCAGCCCCAAGCCCTCCACGCCCTCAGTGGCTGGAACCAGCAAGCACAGACATCCTTTGCTGGGGCACCAAGGTCAGGGGCCCTCAGCCCCCTTGGTCACGTGCCACACACCACAGTATTAGCCATGGGTATCTCTGGGGGAGTGGGGGAGGCGGCAGGGAACTATCACTTCCGACATTGTCTATTTTGGTCCTGTTTGAATTTTTTATAAGGAGTATATATTACTGTCGTAACAGGAAAAAGAGACAAGAAAATGCCTGTTCCTATCTTATCTCCTCGGCTGCTTGAGCCCCAGAATGAGATACTGGTCTGTTCCTCCTGCCCCCTCTGATGAAGGGAGCTTGCCTCATCAGCCCGGGGTGAGGCTCAGGTCCCCTGCCCTCCCCAACTCCCTCCCCTATAAGGTCACCTCTGCTTCTCCTGCAGGGAATTTGGGGTCCTCCGTGGGCCTGCATTGAGGCCAGGAGGGAAAAGAAAAGGCTTTCCTCACAGTTTTCTGAGACTCCCTCATCCAGAGCAGGGTGAGGTTGAGACTAGCCAGGACCCACCTCTGGACCTCCAGCCACTGTCACCCAGCTCTCTCCCTACAAACTCACCCCAATTCCCTCTGCCCACCAGGCCAGGGCAGGATTGAACTGGACCCTGCCTGGCACCTTAGGTTCTCTAAGCCCTTGACCACAACAGGCCTTCTCCCAGGAGTGTGACCCACACAGGCTGAGATGGCAGGGGACCACAACCAAGAGCTCCCAGACCACAACCCTCCCTCCTCCCACCCCTGCTTCCTGCTTCTTTCTGCCTATCCACAGGGTCTCCAGGCAGTACATAGTCCAGTGGGAGCTGGGAAGCCCCGAACAATGCCCACGTAGACTGATGACCCCTTAGTGAGAGGGTGCAGACTTGCTCTTTACAGAGCTCCACACACAGCAGACCTCAGAGCAAACAAGCTGAGCACCTCATCCCTACAGACTGAGGCTCCCACGTGGAAGGAGACAGCAGGGTCCTGTGGGCCCCGTTCAAGTCCTACCTCCTCTAGGAAGCTCTCTCAGCTGCCACCATCCTGGCTCAGTCCAACCCTCCTCTTTCTGACCAGGCATACATACTCTGAACCAGACTCACTCTACAACCAGATCTGGCCACACTCTGCTCTGACCACCTGGGACTGTCCTTCGCAGGTGCCCAAGGTCTCCCTAGCTGGACTGTGTG